AAGTTCACATAGAACCTCTTGCGTCAAAACTATTTATTAAAATTCAACTTTTATAACATATTTAAATTCAATAATGTTAATGTTTTAACATTCAACGAAAAATCTGTTCAAAAAGCTACCAAGAAGCAAGATTTATGAGAGACTATTTCTTGTGGTGGAAGGATATTTAGCAGATAATTCTGCAAATCTGCAAATTTATTAAATTTAATATCTTGGAACTTTAGTATCACGTACTTTTGCTCGGGGAATATTTTCCGTTATGATATTGCTAGGAATATTAAAAAGTCTTAATATATATTTTTAGAACAAGTTTTGCACTTTCCTTCAACAAACTTTGCCAAAAATTAAAGATATGTCAAATAAGTCTAGATGAAATTTATACCATTTTTCGCCTGAAAATCATATTTTGACCAATATTTCAAAATTAACATCTCTAGCATCAACTTTTTCTTTCATTATTTTAAAGTACTTGATACTTGTGACTGAGCAGCACTTAAGTCGTAAAAAGCTTGATGGAAGAAAATGTTTATATTGCCTATTTAGTTTTCTCATACCCCAAATATGTTACTTTTTAGAGCAAAGATCACACAATAATTTACGCGCATTAGATTGCAAGATTTGTTCATTGATAAATATTATTAAACCTATTTAATTAGGTGACCTGAGTAAACTCAGGTGACCTATTGCTATCTGTTTTCGTCCGTCGTCGTGCGTTGTGCGTCAACATTTGAACATTTTTATCTTCTTCTCTGCAACCACTGAACCAATTTCAACCAAATTTGGCATAAAGCATCTATGGGTGAAGGGGACAAAAACTGTGAATTTCATGATCCCTGCTCCCCTGGGGCCTGTGGGGTGGGGCCAAAACCACTAAAATTAGTGCAATCTTTAAAAATCTTCTTCTTTACTCCTGGACATCAAGCAGTCAAACTGTTTGCATGATTGTAATCAGCAATGAGTCCTCTACCAAACTTTTGAAATTCATGGCCCTGGGGTCAGGGGTTCTAGTGCTAGGGCGGGGCTAAATAAGTAGGTAGTGAAAATGCATTATTTGTTTGAAAATCTTCTTCTCTGCTCCTGGGTATTAAATAAACCAACTAAGTACATAGTTATGATGAGCAAGAGTGCCTCTACCAAAATTGTGAATTTTATGGCCCCAGGGTCAGGGGTTCTGGTGTTAGGGCGGGGCTCTATTGATTATATAGTGAAAATACATGAATTCTTTGAAAATCTTCTCTGCTCCTGGGTATTAAATAAACTAACTAAGTACATAGTTATGATGAGCAAGAGTGCCTCTACCAAAATTGTGAATTTTATGGCCCCAGGGTCAGGGGTTCTGGTGTTAGGGCGGGGCTCTATTGATTATATAGTGAAAATACATGAATTCTTTGAAAATCTTCTTCTCTGCTCCTGGGTATTAAATAAACTAACTAAGTACATAGTTATGATGAGCAAGAGTGCATCTACCAAAATTGTGAATTTTATGGCCCCAGGGTCAGGGGTTCTGGTGTTAGGGCTGGGCTCTATTGATTATATGGTGAAAATATATGAATTCTCTGAAAATCTTCTTCTCTGCTCCTAGGTATTAAATTAACTTAATAAGTACATAGTTATGGTGAGCAAGAGTGCCTCTACCAAAATTGTGAATTTTATAGCCCCAGGGTCAGAGGTTCTGGTGTTAGGGCGGGGCTCTATTGATTATATAGTGAAAATACATGAATTCTTTGAAAATCATCTTTTCTGCTCCTGGGTATTAAATAAACTAAGTGCATAGTTATGATGAGCAAGAGTGCCTCTACCAAAACTATGAATTTTATGGCCCCAGGGACAGGGGTTCTGGTGTTAGGGCGGGGCTTTATAGATTATATAGTGAAAATACCTGAATTCCTTGAAAATCTTCTTCTCTGCTCCTAGGAAATAAATAAACTAAGTACATAGTTATGATGAGCAAGAGTGCTTCTACCAAAATAATGAATTTTATGGCCCCAGGGTCAGGGGTTCTGGTGTTAGGGTGGGACTGTATTGATTATATAGTGAAAATACATGAATTCTTTGAAAATCTTCTCCTCTGCTCCTAGGAAATAAATAAACTAACTAAGTATATAGTTATGATGAGCAAGAATGCCTCTTCCATAGTTGTGAATTTTATAGCCCCAGGGTCAGGGGTTCTGGTGTTAGGGCGGGGCTCTATTGATTATATAGTGAAAATACATTAAATCATTGAAAATTTTCTTCTCTGCTCCAGGGTATTAAGCAGATAAACTACCAATATAGTTATGATGGACAAGGGCTCATATCTTCCACTCTTCCACAACTGTGAATTTCAAGGCCCAGGATCAGGGGTACCATAGAGGGGGGGGGGGGGTTGTACTTGTATAATGAAAATGAATGAATGGTTTGAAATCTGCTCCTTGGTATTAATCAAATATCAAGGCCTAAGGGTCAGGGATCATGTATGGTAGGGGCACTACTGATTATTGCTGAATATTACTGATTAGTTGAAATGCATTTTGTGTTCCCTTACCCTGCGTATGGGTATTAAGTAAACAAAGTAAGCAACTGCTAAGTGTATTGCTATGATGATCAATGGTGACTTTCAAAATTGTGAATGCCATAGCATCTGGCTTAAAACATGAATCAAATTCAATCACTGAAAAGTTGTTGCATAATGTTCAGGTGACCTATAAGGCCCATGGGCCTCTTGTGTATAATAAAATTATATTTATCGCCATGGTTACATCTGATAAAATATTATAAAGGTCAAAGTAATTTACCAAAGAGTTAAAGTTTAAGTACAAAAAGGTCAACTTAACTGTACCGTAGATCAGTAAGATGCACACTGACCTCCTATTTTCTCTGCAATTTTGAGTTACACTATATGAGTACTTATACAAAATATACTCATCAAAAAATCCTTGATTTAGCAAATTTCACGAGTGACATACCCTAAGTAAATTTAAATTTATGCCCATTTGAGGGTGCGCGGCGAGAGGGAGTGCGAGTTCATTTTCTTTAGATTGAGGAGATGGAGACTTTGAGGCTTACTGGGGAGTGGAACTTGCACCGGGAGAACGTAGTCAGCGGAAAGTTCCCACCGGAAGCGTGTGACTTACTCCCGGTGTGTGTAGCACACCGATGCCCTAAGTGGATGGTTCCCCGGATTATGTCACTTTTATGGGATGGAGACATGTCGCTAACGCAGGGAGCTGATTGATTCTGATGGGTATTTGGAGGCGCCTGGCTTCTAGCAGTTTTATTCCCTACTCCAGAAACAACAGACTGGAGGGGGTTATTGACCGTATTAAAGGAAATATTTCCAAATGTGAAGTATTCTTCATGGGTTAACTGCAGGGTAGACAACCTTGGTCTGGATGTAAGGGTCCTGCGCGGCGGAGATATTGGTTTATTGCACACACATATGACCTCTGAGATGGGATTCGTGAAAAATAAGGGTTCCATGGAAAAGAATACGGGGTCTCAGTTAAGTGGAAAAACTCAAATCCTTGTGGGAAAGATGAAATCTGACAAACTGCAGTCAGCTACTTAACCACAGGAGCTCAAGGTCACTGCCAGTTCTTCTGTTACGACTACTACATGCAGCTAGGGAATGCCTGGGTTCCTAGTTCATTACAAGAGCAGAACCTTCCTGTTAAACAGCCCGTTCCTAGTTTGTCCTGTCCCGAATCTGTTTCTGTTCATAAGTCTAAGGATTACGTCTGTTTCCACTCCTTAAGGTCAGCCACTTTCTTCCATAGGCTGCAGTATTTTTTGCTCGGTCTTGCCGAGTACATTAACACTTTGCTTTTTCTTATCAAGGACACAATGAGTGGAAGGTATCCCAATATGGGCGCAACCGTCCCGGGTTAGATTACTGGGGGTATGGGCATGCCCAATACAGCAACCACTGCATTTGTGTATTCTAATGCAGTGAACTTAGACAGTCGGGGCTCTGGTTATTATTGTGGGTTGTTAGGACAGTCGGTGGCACTACGGGGTTGACAGTCATTTGTCATGGACATTGCTAAGAAAGCCATTGGTGGAAAAACTTAGTTTTCCAAATGCAATGAAAGCAGAGCAGGAAATATCCCCTGAATACTCTAGAAGAGGCGATTAAACGCGTCAAAACGTATCAGCTAAACCTTAGAGCTTTGAACCAGACGTCTGAGTGCAATAAGATCTATCTCTTAGAGACCGTAGAACTTACCTTAGCTTGTCTCAATGACAAGATCATTACAGAGAGAGCTTGGATTTTGAGTTTCGGGGCTTTTGCGTTGATTCTAGGGTGCGCACTAAATCAAAGGACAGGTACTTCGATTACAAGGAGCGCTTTGATCCTTAGGAACCTTCAGTAAGTTAAGAGGAACACTCTGCTCCGAAGGGTGCGACACCGCACCATCAAGGCCCATGCCGAGTCACAGGACCAGGATCCGTATAGACTTATACTAAATGTTTCAATGTTACGTACAGCAATGCAGCAGAGTAACGTCGTGCTACAAATCCAGACACCAGCGACAAGTTCTATGGACTGAACGTAAATGCTACCTATGATATATAGACCCTCAGGTCAGGTAGGCAAGGAATCGGTTCAGGTGCGTGGTGTTTTCTAATCCACACAGGGAGCCAGCGTGTGAAAGCGACTTTTGATACGGCAGCCAACATAACAAAAATCTCGGGAGAAGTCCTAAAAACTACAGTCCAAGTTTGTTAGGGACAACAGTGTTAGGCTAGCTGGCGAGTGGCAGGTATGATGGCCTAGCACCTCGGGCATCCCAACTTACGCATCGAGGATTATGATTTTGTTCATCATCCTAATTGACATGTGCATAAAGTCTTAGGTTGGACGAGCAGTTTGTACATAGAAGTTACATGTAAGGAAGCCTATAGTTTAACTGAAAGTGTTTATACAATTTAACTTTATGATATCAACATACGTTTGGAATATTAAAGACGAACAACATCATTGATGCAAACAAGGTAATTCTAATATTTTAATAGTTTACCATTCTCTTTATCATAATAAGCTTTGTTCCAACAATCTCTGATATCATCAACGTATTCAAAGACCTGATGCAGAGAAGTATGAAAGTCAGCACCAAAACCATCTTAGATGCATCACGAAAACCTTTCTCATCGCCCAGTTTAAGCAGCATTCCAACAGTATACACAACCATTGTTATCCAGTCCAATACAGTCCACCAATCAAGTACGTATTCTTTAAACCGTTTTCGATGTAATGAAATGCATAACTGCAATATAATGTGACACAGCTCTTATAGAAACAATAATTGATTTTTGTGCTCGTATAACTCGAATTTTAACAGCAGGAATATTAAACAAGAGGCCCAGGGGCCACAGCGCTCACCTGAGCACATCGGGCTTGAATTTACCCCCCCCCCTCCTCCAGGCGTTCATCATTTGAACAAACTAGAGTCTACACTACCTGAGGATGATTCCATATAAATATCACTAATCATAGTTTAGAAGTACTTGAAAAGAAAATTTTAAAAGGTTTCCCTATATATCCCTATGTAAAACTTGGGTCGGCCATTTTGGCCCCACCCTTGCCGCGGGGGTCATGATTTGAACAAACTTGAATCTACACAACCTGAGGATGATTCCACATGAGTTTCATCTTTCCTGGCCCAGTGGTTCTGGAGAAGAAGATTTTTAAAGATTTTTCCTATATATTCCTATGTAAAACGTGGGTCGGCCATTTTGGCCCCACCCTTGCCGCGGGGGTCATGATTTAAACAAACTTGAATCTACACTACCTGAGGATGATTCCACATGAGTTTCATCTTTCCTGTCCTAGTGGTTCTTGAGAAGAAGATTTTTAAAGATTTTTCCTATATATTCCTATCACAGGTACTTGTAGACAGGACCCCCCCCCCCCCCCCCGCCCGATATTCAACCCCGGGGCTTATTGGACATTTTTTTTTCAAAAATTATATTTATTTCACTTATTCATCATGTGTACAATATGAAAAAATCATCAAAACCCCAAAACAATCGCTCCACAAAAAATACCCCACTATACATTATAAGGGAGAAAGGTATGTCACTTCGATTTGTTTACGTTGTACCCCCACCGGTCTTTCTCAGTTTCTGGGATTAAAACCATGTATTTATTTTATTTCAACCTAAAATGTCGATTCACATCGTCTCTACATATGCTTCTGTTTAAGTGCATGCTATCGGATTAACTCTGCATCTTGTAAGAATCCCACAAATATCTGATTATCTCCTCAAACAGTTTTCCAGTCAGAACATTGAAATTTCCTAGGTAATCGCAACGGAAGTGCATAGAGAATGTTTCACTTATTAGGAAAACGTCCGAGAGAGTTTTGGATTGACATAATAATCTCTCTTGGGTTTTATCATTCATTCTCTAAGCACTTCCGTTGCTTTTACTTAGGGAAATTTCAAACCGGAGTGGCATACCTTTCTCCCTTATAATGTATAGTGGGGTATTTTTTTTTGTGGAGCGATTGTTTTGGGGTTTTGACGATTTTTTCATATTGTACACATGATGAATAAGTGTAATAAACATAATTTTTGAAAAAAAATGTCTAATAAGCCCCGGGGTTGAATATCAGAAAAGGGGGGGGTCGTGTTCACAAGTACCTGTGATTCCTATGTAAACATTGGGTCGGCCATTTTGGCCCCACCCTTGCCCCAGGGGTCATGATTTGAACAAACTTGAATCTACACTACCTGAAGATGATTCCACATGAGTTTCATCTTTCCTGGCCTTGTGGTTCTGGAGAAGAAGATTTTTAAAGATTTTTCCTAGATATTCCTATGTAAAATTTTGGGTCAGCCATTTTGGCCCCACCCTTGCCCCGGGGGTCATGATTTGAACAAACTTGAATCTACACTACCTGAGGATAATTCCACATGAGTTTCATCTTTCCTGGCCCAGTGGTTCTTGAAAAGAAGATTTTTAAAGATTTCTCCTACGCATTCCTATTTTCGGCCATTTTGGCTTCACCCTTGCCCCGGGGATCATGATTTGAACAAACTTGAATCAACACTACCTGAGGATGATTCAACATGAGTTTCATCTTTCCTGGCCAAGGGGTTCTTAAGAAGAAGATTTTTAAAGATTTTTCCTATATATTCCTATGTAAAACTTGGGTCGGCCATTTGGCCCCACCCTTGCCTCGGGGGTCATGATTTGAACAAACTTGAATCTACACTACCTGAGGATGATTCCACATGAGTTTCATATTTCCTGGCCCAGCGGTTCTGGAGAAGAAGATTTTTTAAAAATTCCATTAATTTTTAACAAATTCATGATTATCTCCCCTTGGAAAAGGGCGTGGCCCTTCATTTGAACAAACTTGAATCCCCTTCACCCAAGGATACTTTGTGGCAAGTTTGGTTGAAATTGGCCCTGTGGTAATTGAGAAGAAGCTGAAAATTGAAAAGTTTACAGACAGACACCGGACAAAATGTGATCAGAAAAGCCCACTTGAGCCTTCGGCTCAGGTGAGCTAAAAACAAATTATTATTATTACCTGTTTTGTTTCATCAAGAAAATAACTGCTCATCCATCCAATCAAAAACCAGTCTGTTACCGAGATCCCGTCGGTAAAATCAAAAATCAACATGTAGCCGAAAGGAACCAATCCTAACCCTAAGGAAACCTGTTGTAACCAGAAATCTCTGTCGAGACTGAAGCTCTACCTGATTTTACTTATAACAAAGGAGTTGGGAATTGAAACTTTACAACAGCAATAAATAGAATAATGATCATTGGTTAAGTCTTTTTATGTTGTTAGTGTAGTCTACTTGCATTCCACATTATATTATAATCAGACTAAAACTGTATTTGGGGTAGCATTTTGATAGTATTTTTATCTTTAGTAACCAAGGCAATAATGTTCATCGAAATACAAAATTATAATTAGAATTGTGTATCTTAGTATAGTCTACTGCTGTACGAAATTATATTGAAATCAGAACAAAACTATAGGAGGAGAAGTATTTTGAAAGTATTTCACAGAAAGTTCTATGTTTAGTAACCACGGCAACATCGTTCATAAAAATCGAAAACCGATAAATCAAGTTGTGAATCTTAGTGTAGTCTACTTGTGTGCCAAGTTATATTGAAATAAGACCAAAACTGTAGAAGGAGTAGCATTATGAAACATTTCACAGAAATTTCTATTTTTATCAAAAAGCGATACACAGAATTATGTATCTCAGTGTAGAAATTTCGATGGTTAGTAACCACGGCAACACCGTTCATCGAAATCATAAACCAATATACAGAATTATGTATCTCAGTGTAGTCTACTTGTGTGCCAAGTTATATTGAACTCAGACCAAAACTGTAGGAGGGGTAGCATTTTGAAAAATTGTTTACAGACAGGCAGACGGATGCTGGACGCATTACTATCGGATAGGCTCTTCTGGTCTTTAACCAGTAGAGCTAAAAATAAGGTAGTATAACGAAAAGATTGTGTGCCTATGCTCACTAGAATAATTCCTGCTCTGTTGAGAATATACTGTAAACCAACTTTTATTCGCGACAACTTTATTTCGCGATTTACCAGGGGTAAACTAGTTGGCGACAATTAATTTTCGCGATCAGGCCTTTTTTGATACGTTGTTAATAGACAGTGAGACTCTAAGTACCAGTTCACGGCGAGAAATATTCGCGACGACGAGGCTGTCGCAAACTTCGCAAAAATTTATCGCACGCGAATACAAGTTATTTTACAGTACATTATCATGTTGATATACACGCCAAATTGAGTTACGGGCAGATGCCGGGATAAATCGGAAGTTGTCATCAGATTCTTATAAATATGCCATGCCTCAACAAAGTATATGCTTAAAGAACTTTATTCGGTAATAACCAATATTTGCCCCCCAAATCAAACTTTGATGGAGATATATCTAATTAAGTTCTTAAATAGGGGAGTATATGCTGACTTCAAAGTACTGAATATTTTCATAAGTAATGACGTCACAAACATGACGTAAATTTCAGTTTTCTATGAATTTTACAGAAAAATGTACATATTTCGTCGATATTTTGAGTAAAAGTCACCGAGCGCATGTGTGTTCAGGATCAATATTTTGATATAATGTGTAGAATGATAATATCAATGAAATATGTCAATATTGTTCCTGAACAAACTTGCGCTCTATAAATTTTAAAGCTAAAATTGTTGAAATTTTGTCCATTTTGTCCTCTTCCTGAAAAAGGATATAAAATCGGACTAGTTTGTGACGTCATAAAAACAAATAATTGTGAATACACTACTTTGAAACTATATTATTTTTCTGTTAATTCATATTTCTCATACACTTTATTGAATTCAGCACATTTCAGGAAATTTTCAAAATTTGACTTTTGTAGGGGCAAATATATGCAATATACCGCATATAGTTCTTTCGAGGATTTGTAATGAATAGTTGCTGACAGCGCACGGATGAACAGGAAGTTGGAATCAAATGTAAACTAGATATCATTGAGATGGTGGCTATCTCAAAGGGCCCTGCTTTTAACAATGAACATGAAAATGTAAGGTTGCTTAAGGGGGCCGACTATAGTTTCCATTGCGCAATATTTCGCGCATCAAAGTAAAATGAAGTGTAATTACTGTTTTAATGCAACTTTTTTTCGCTTAATTATCAGAATTAGACAAAATTAAGAAATTATAGGTATAAAAATGTAATTACAATTTGATATAACTGATTTTTTAACCGATTTTGCAATTGATAGGTAGGTTGACGTTGAAGAAAACTTGAAGAAATGTATCCTATTTGAAAACTGTTGCATATCCTCTATCAAAATATGGAAGGAAAATCACAAGTGTTTCATACCATGGAGTCAATTTTTTTTAGGCCGAGTGGACTTCAGGGAAAGAAATTATGCACCAAACAGATTTTAAACAAAGACTATTTTTGATCCTTTACCTAGAAACTTTGTTTAAGGTCACTGCACATCAATTGACCACTGGCACTGTTAGTGAAGTATGAGCCACATTGGACAAAGGGGAGAGAAGACATGCTCCGGAAAAGAATTTTTAATATAATTCTGCTATGACCTTCATCTTATACCTAGAAACATGGTTCAAAAGCACTGCACACCCTTTACCCAAAGGCACTCTGAATGAAGTATGAGCCACAATGAACCAAGTGGAGAAAAGATATGCTCAGAATAAGAATTTAAGAAAGGTGATTTTTGACCTTGAACCTTAACCTA